GTTCATTTCTTCTTTGCCGAAATGTGCTTCCTTCCTTCCGCAATGAGACCTTTGCGTCTCACCAACACACCGACACGTACTGCGACTCCATATTACATTGCCTTCACGGCGCGGCTCGTCCTCCTAATGCCCGCACCCATCGACAGCTACAGAACTTCAAGATTGTAAACTCAATCCTCTGCAGTTTTGTCTCCCACCCTGAACAACAGCACTGGGTTCTCGTCGCTCACGAGGAGCACAGATTTTAGAGGCATTTCACGATGACCCCAAGACTAGACATGTCGCTCTTCACAAAAATGATGAATGCATTCGCAGTCCTTTCGATTGGCCAGGACATACCACCTGCGTAGAATGATATGTTGCGTCATGCTCACTCTGCCAGCGCCTAAAGCGACCCACTTCATCTACGGCTAGACTAGCCCCATTCTATCTCGTCTACGGCCGTCAACCGACATCTCCGCTCGACGTTTACTTTTTCGACGTTGCTGTAGACTCATCGGTGTCATTGAGGGTGAACCTAATCTCTCGCATCATTGCTTGTCGCCACCGTGCTCGCCTTTATACAGATGAAAGTCAACAAGAGCAGAAGACTCGCTACTGTGGCGTTCACCGCATTGTTCAGTTCGATACTGGCGACGAAGTATACACGAACCCAACACGAAGTACCCCAACACGAGTTCCTGGCCTGACTGATAAGTTACAGTCGTGTTTTATTGGCCGCAACCCCATTGTCGAGCAGATGTCTCCTGTGAACTATCAGGTAACTCTTGCTGTCATGTCTACCAATGACCGTTCCCATAGCATGGACGTTGTTCACGTGACATGCTTAAAACCATTTGTGCGACGTACAGCACTGCTATAAACAGTGGCCAGGTTGGCCATTTGCGTGCGAGGGGGAAATTAGTGTAAACACAAAAAAGTGGAAGACCCTTCAGCTTTGCCATCAAGAGATGAACGCGATAGCAACATTCTGTTTCTATAATCCGTACTTCGAACACTTAGTGAGCGAAATATTTTTGAACTTGCTATGCACTTACCGTACTACATGGCCCTAAGGGTGCAGTAGTGTGTGTGCCTTTTGTAGTGGGTGATTGGCTTCAAACTACGAAGTCATGATAATCTCATGTTCTGACACCCGATGGTAATGTATGCTTGTACAGCGCATTATGAAGGCAACATTTCATGTTGTAATGTGGAGCATGTATACAAGAGGGGTGTGTTTGTGAAGGATGAAAGTTATTTTTACTGCATCTCCAAGCAAAGCAAGTTATTTTCACTGTATTCTCAAGCAGAGGCGTTGCTGTGTGGTAGAACATCTGCTTGCCTTGCAAACGACCAGAGTTTGATCCCCATTTGGACCCAGAATTTTTTATTACTGTTTTTATTTGCATCTTTGTACATTTTTCGGTCCCACAAAGATGATAATTTTTCGCTCACAATGCTGATGTCCAAATTTCTGCAAAACGAGCTCTTTAATGCCATCGCGCTATTATTCACAGCATTTGTCTTTCATTTTCCTTGCTTGTATATAACCATCATCACTGTGAGGGCCTTCCTTCGAATGTTTTTTTATGCGACAACAAAATAAACATCGTCGAGACCACAGCAGTGCTGCTGTCTTGTAGAACATTAATATACAGATGGTGATTAGAGTTATGTTTCAGAAAAATCGACGGACACACAGTGTTATGGCTGAGAAATGGTTACACATTTAAGGTTTCAGGTGTGCACATTTACCACTAGAACAGTGCATGAGCACAAGCGGGATAAAGTAAGGTACTGCTGTACATCACGAATTCCTACTTCAAGGAGCTCAACTATCGCTGATGCACTGAACCTTGCTTACTCAGCTTTGACAATAGATGCAATCTGCACTGAGGGGACATGAAATAGAAGGTCATCGTTGACTTCATCTTGAAGAGGGCAAACTGGTCTTAGACATCTTTTTGTTTATTTCTTGAGTGATCTTGATCAAACTGCACAGAATTATACAGTTTCTTCTGCTGATCTCAAATATTTATTTATTTTTCCTGTAACTCATCTTATTCCTGAGATAACTTATGTTCACTCCCTTTTGTTTAAGGCTGCCATGGAAAAAAGTGCTTAATTAAAAGAGATCTTTAAGACATACCAACATAGACTAATGACTATAGATTGAAAGTATGCAAGAGTTTTCTTGTTTTATGGCCTTTCTTGGTTATTTTACAGCAAAATGAACCATTCATTTTCAAAAGCAGCTGCAATTGTATTACAATTTTGATGAGTAATTAATTAAAAAAGCTTGTGCTTCAAATTCTACTCCCATACTTGCACTCTACACACATACCAGTTTCCATTGTAAAATGAATTATTGTTGTAGATGCCCTAGCTGCAGAGATAGTGAGGCCTCAAAATTAAACAGTCGTAAATTTACTTTTTTGAGAAAAATGAGAAAACTGAAAACACACAGCTTGTTCAAAAAGCAATAATTATGCGTGCCCATGTTTTGCAATCCTCATAAAGGTGCTCCTAAATTCGTAGCAGAAGTTCCAACATCTTGACGCAAAGTAGGCTGGCAACTATAGTGGCCAGCCTTTGCGGAGGATAACGAAGTACTCTGTGGGCGCGTGCTGTGGTGTTCGTGCTTTTTGCCTTCGGTCACGAAAGTAAACGCCCTGCTTTTGTGCCATTACTTCTTCGTCGTCCACGGTTACCACAATGTTTGATGTCACCACTCTTCGTACCACGCTTGACTGCGTCTGTACAACTTTTTGCTGCCGTCGCTGTCGTCGTAGTGGAGGATCTTCCGTAAAGTCAGCCTCAGCGGCCTCACCTCCGGAGGTTGCTGAACTCAGTTTTCCCAACTTGCAGGGCTGGGTGAACGGCGTCTCGGAGCGCCGCGTGAATAGGCTGGACTCGGTGACCTGTAACGAGCAGGCGACGACGAGCAGGGCTCATGCGACCGATGTTCGATAGTGGGACGATTCGAGATGAAACTCTCTATTTCCAGTGGTCGCTCGCCAGATCGTGGACGAGGGGCATTAGGCGAAAATCCAGGGAGACTCACACGGCGGTATGGACATGTTCGGTAGACGTGTCCGGCTTCACCGCAGTGAAAACAAAGGGGCCGGCGGTCGGGTGTACACCAGATGTCACTCTTCCTCGGTCGTGCTTCGGTGATCAACGGCGGGCTGCGAGGATAGAAGCCTACTTCCATTTGTTGAGCGCGTCGCTCATTGGGGTAAAACGCGCTGGCTGAACTGCACGATGGAGGACGTCGCACTGCTTCATCGTAACTCATTTCGACACATTGCCTCTGTTGTGGCGCCTCGGACTCTGGGGGAGCGTGAAGGGCTTGCCGTAATTCGGCGCGTACCATCTTCGCAACGGAGAGTTGCTCTACAGGTGATGCAGTCACCTGCATCTTTTGTAGCTCCTCCTTAATGAGAGCTCTGATGAGCTCTCGCAACGCGCTGATGTCATTGCCGAGACTGACAGAAGTGACCTCACTTGGATTGACACCCCGGTAATACTGCCTGGCACGCTGTTGAAGGGCCCTCTCCATGGCAGTGGCTTCCTCATGGAACTCCGCAAGTGTCGCAGGCGGGTTTCGGATCAGGCCGGCAAAAATCTCTTCTTTAACACCACGCATTAAGTGGCGGACTTTCTTGGATTCAGTCATAGAGGGCTCCGCACGCCTGAAAAGCCGATCAATGTCCTCTATGTAAGTCGTCACCCTTTCGTTAGGGCCTTGAACCCTTGCCTCTATAGCACGCTCCACTGTCTCTTTCCTGTCCTCTCAGGCAAAGGCCTTGAGGAACTGCCGGCGAAACTCATCCCATGACGTAAGCGTTGCTTCATGGTTCTCAAACCACGTTTTACGCGGAGTCCTCGAGAAAATAGTACACATAGCGAAGCTTACGCTCTGGGGTCCAATCGTTGATGACAGCGACCCGGTCGAAATGCTCGAGCCAGTCGTCGGCATCTTCAAAAGCAGCTCCGTGAAATGTTTTCGGGGTCTTGGGCTGGTTGACAACTAGGTGCGCTAGTTGTCAACTAGCGCATCTAGTTGACAACTAGATGCGCTAGTTGAAAAAAAAGAAAAAAAAGTGCTAAAAAAGAAAGTTCCTCACGTTTCATTTTTTGTTCTCTCGCTGTCTCAGGTTTTCCGCGCCCATGCTTCCTACTTCGCAACTCCCACTCTGCCTCGCTGACCCTGCCCTCTCGTGTTGCCTTCACCTCTGCGCTTGCTTGTAATCCTGCAGCGGCAACGTTTCAACAAAAAGAAAGAAAAGAAAGTTGCCCTCTCGTTTTTTTTTTTTTTCCTCCACACCGTCGCGCGTCTTTCGAGAAGCAAGGCATCCGTTCCCTTTGTCGTCTGTTTGCGTACCGCTCCGGTGGTCGCGACGAATTTCAGAACATAAATTCACAGTACTGAGCCATTGTTAATATGACACGGAACTAAATTAACGCTCGTTATTCTGAAAAGTTCGGTATTCCGATGTACGTAGTACTAGTGAAATAATTTTACATTAAAACTATAAGCAGTCAGCTTGGGATTTTTTCAAAGATTCAATGATCTGAAAAAGTTCGTTAATGTGGGGTTTGTTCTCCCGACATTTCACTCTATAAAGAAGCCTCGAAGTCGGTTCCCCATTTTTTTGCAGGTTCTGCATGTTAACAGCACCAAGAATCTGTACAGTTAGAATTACATTACAAAAAAATTATCACTTCTTGGTGTGTGAAAATTTCTACAGAGATAAAAAAATACTTGCAAAAACCAAATATGTCAATTTTAAAAAATGAGTTTTTTTGTTACTTTTTGGTCCCAAAGACCAGACTACCCTCTTAAACAAGGAGTTACCAGGACTCCGGTATGTCCAGTCTTAAAAATATTTGTTAGGTGCCACGCCAATCTCTTTTTCTTTCTGTAACTGCACGTGAACAAAAATAACCTCTTATTTCATGCACAGAGGATGTCCACTAGAATGACTCGAAGGGTATAGGCTGCAGTGTCTTACCGGGTTATCCTGCGGTTCGCTCATATGACGAGTGTTCCACCAGTCGCTAGTCCACTCCCATACGTTGCCTATGATGTTCTTAAGGCCGAACTTGGTTGCTGGGAAAGCTGTCACCTGCAGAAACCATTGTCTCAGTCCACTTTTTTTGTTGTTGTTGCTGAAGATACAGAGACGTTATGGAAACAAAGGAAATATCGGGTAAAGACACTTAAAGGGGCCCTGAAACACCTATTCAAGTAACCATATCACTAAAAAAGCTTAATGCCTCATGATTTCAATGCCATAATAATTGTAAGAATCTGTGCAGTACAAGCAGAGTTACAAAGATTCATCGCAAGCTGCAATCGCGTTCTCTCTTCTCTCGTTCGACGAAAGCACTGGAAGTTAAGCAGAGGGAGATAGCCATGGCCGGTCTAGAGGCACACTCTCGCTTTCTTTACGGCCTGTGCACGGGGAGCTGTTTTATACTTATACCCCTAATCTCGAGGAGGCGCTTCGAGCCAACTTGCCGCCTGCCGTTGCGAAGGCTAGCGCACGCAAGGAATGCTCGGCTTCCAACCTGCTATTGCGTTTCTTGGGGGTATCAATGCAATCTAAACATGGCAGCAAGCATATGTGACAACTCTGGTCTCGGGAGAGCATCAAAATAGTCTTTTTTTTTCGAAAGGATCACTGAAATGTGTCACTTTCGTGCGGCACAGCAGCCGTTTCTGAGTGGAGGTGGCTCGTGCGCCGTGTGGCGCAGCAGTCTCTGCCTTAAACTAAAAATATATGGTCATTGATTGAATTCTAATGTTTTCTTTACTCTGTTAGCAATTACCTTTGTAAATAGCTTGTATACTACAGAGAGCAAGCTAATCGGCCTGTAATTCTTCAAGTCCATGTCATCTCCTTTTTTATGTATTAAGATGATGTTAGCATTCTTCCAAAACTCTAGTACTCTTCCCGTCAAGAGACGCCTCTTAAACAGGATAGCTAATTTTTCTAACACAATCTGTCCTCCATCTTTCAGCAGATCTGATGTTACCTGATCCTCACCAGCAGCTTTGTTTCTTTGCATGCTCTCCAAAGCTTTTCTGACTTCTTTTATCATTACTGGTGGGGTGTCATCTGGGTTACTGCGAGTTCTAATAGTATTAAGGTCGTGGTTGTCCCTGCTACAGTACAGCTCTCTGTAAAACTCCTCCGCTATTTTAACTATCCTATCCATATTGGTAGTTATTTTACCTTTTTTGTCCCTTAGTGCATACATCCGGTTTTTGCCTATCTCAAGTTTCCTCCTCAATGCTTTGACGCTTCCTCAATTTTTCAGAGCGTGTTGAAATCTCTCCGTGTTATACCTTCTTACATCGCATACCTCATGCCTATTAATCAACTTCGAAAGCTCTGCCAGTTCTATTTTGTTTGTTGTACTTGAGAGATTTATAATTTGATGCTTCTTAATGAGATTCTTCGTTTCTGGGAAAGCTTGCCAGTGTCCTGTCTAACTACTCTGCCTCCAACTTCCACTGCATACTCCGTAATGATACTCGTCAGATTATCATTCATTCTATCTACGCTAAGGTTGGTTTCCTCACTAAGAGCCGAGTACCTGTTCTGAAGCGAGACTCTGAATTCCTGTGCTTTCCCTCTCAGTGTTAGCTTATTGATTGGCTTCTTGCGTATCAGTTTCTGTCGTTCCTTCTTCAAGTCTAGACGAATTCGAGACCGTACCATTCTATGGCCACTGCATCGTACCTTGCCAACCACTTCCACATCCTGCATGATGCCTTAGGTGTGCACTCATTATAAAGTCTATTTCGTTCTCATTTTCGCCATTAGGGCTCCTCCATGTCCACCTGCGGTTTCCTCGTTTTCGGTAGAAGGTATTCAAAATCCGTAAATTATTGCATTCTGTGAATTCTACTAGTAGCTCTCCTCTGGCGTTTCTAGTACCGATGCCATAATCTCCTACTGCCTGGTATCCAGCCTGTTTCTTCCCTACTTTTGCATTAAAGTCTCCCATCAGTATAGTACACTGTGTTTTTACCTTACTCATTGCAGATTCCACGTCTTCATAGAAACTTTCAACTGAAGCGTCATCATGGCTGGATGTAGGCAAGTAAGCCTGTACCACCTTCATCTTGTACCTCTTACTCAGTTTAATTGCGATACCTACCGCCCTTTCATTATTGCTATAGTATTCCTCTATGTTGCCAGCTATGTTTCTGTGAATTAGGAACCCCCCTCCCAGTTTTCTTTTGTCAGCCAAGCACTGCTAGCAAAGGACGTGCTCATTCTAAAGCACCGTATATGCCTCATCTGTCTTCTTAACCTCACTGAGCCTTATTATATCCCATTTAACACCCTCTAGCTCCTCGAATAGTACAGCTAGACTTCCCTCACTAGATAAGGTTCTAGCATTAAACGTTGCCAAGTTCAGGTTCCAATAGCGACCTGTCCAGATCCAGAGATTCTTAGCACCCTCAGCTGCGTTGCAGATCTGACCGCGGTCGTGGTCAGTTGCTTCGCAGCTGCTCGGGACTGAGGGCTGTGAGTTAATTGACGTATGCATGTGGGAGGTAGTGGCCAGATACTGCACCAGGGTGGCCAATCCTTCTCCAGTGAAGGAGTGCATTACCGGTGGTGGTAACCGATGAGGCCGCACCCCAGGCCTCTTAATGCAGTTCGATCACCACGCGGATTTTTTTAAAATCCGGTTGGGAACTGCGCCGCACCGGTATTTGAACCACGGACCTTTTGCATGCGAGGCGGATGCTCTAACTACTACGCAAAGCAATTACAAAGCATATTAAAACCACTTACAAAGCATATTAAAAACACGAATTGGACACAATACGAATTGGAATTGCACTGAAGGTAAGCATGCTTTTTCCTGTTGCTGCATTTATTTTGGTCCAATTCACGAAGAAAAGTTTGGCAACTGCTGAATTTTCCTGATATCATTATTATAAGGCGTTATCAATTCATCTGTGCCAGTGTTACTTTTTTCTTATGATGGTCCATTTCGCCTCGGTGCTAAATACCTCGATTTAAGAAATATAGAGGCATTCCAGCATTTATCCTTGCTGCAGACATGTATGGGAGGAAAGTGGGCTAATTATCGTCGTTAGATAACATTGTGCTCCTATGGTGACACATCGTTTTACTATTTTATAGTGTAATGATATTTATGAGGTGGTCAACTGAAGCACAGTTACGCTCTAGATAACTGAGTGCCCTGGTCACGTCACTGAAGTAAGGTGATAAGTAATTTTGCAGGAATAATGTAGATGGCTTCGATTAGCCCATTTACATTTACTCCCCATGTCTTTCACAGTGAAAGTGCCTCAGTTCATATTGTAACAGCGCAGAGATGATTCACAAAGGAAGACTGAATACAAGCATTGGGTAAGTTGTCTCCTTTTTTGTGATCTGTACCTTGATTATGTTTCGGCAGCACAATGGTAATATCAGTATCGTGTTCATTTACTGTAGTTTTGACTGCATCTAAATGAAGGGACCGCACACCCAGCAGAACTACAACTTTCTGAAAAATTAAGTATTTGTCGAGGTAGACTACTGAAGAAAGAAAAACTGCAAATAAGCACTGATAAGTAACGTGCAGTGTTTTATACCAGGTACACGGTACTCTGAACGTGTGTTGAGTTTTTCTTGAACAAACAAAATATTCAGATGCTTGTTTTAACATTGCCCGACGTATCGACCAAACACCGTAAAACTTACGGTGTGAATGAGCGATTATACGAGACCGAAATGTGCCTGTAACCAGCCCGTGCTCGTCACAAAACCGGCCATGCACAATTAAACATGGATGTAAAGAAAATGATAAATTCCAGAGAAATTCGTTTCTAAAGAGGATTTAGTTAGATGTGGTTCGATACAAAAATTTGAAAAATAAATGCAAAAAATCAAACAAAAGGGGGACTGAAGGCAGAGCTAACTCAAAACAATTATTTAGCGGTAAAAAAGTGTGTTATTATTGCGATAACCATTATACGGACACTACTTGGTGGGTTTTTTTGTCGCCACCATATTCCTTTTGCAACAAGTCTGAATTATTAACATGCCTCTGAACATCGTAACTTTCTCAGGCAGGTAAACGCACACGAGTGGTACTGAAGCACAGATTTAATGAGTCGGCGTATCCTTATGGTCTGGAAAGTGCGTAAGATAACATCTCTCGCGTGTTAGAACTGTCGTTGTACGCTTAAACAGAAAGTAAACCACCCCCCCCCCTGAACGAGCATGAAACAATGCAGGGAGGGGGGGATTCACTGGAGTCACAATAATGAACTTGGATTTTAAGGACGGTTGCAATAGCTGGTGCGCTTGATATCTCAATGAGTGTCAATGCGGTTTAAACGCGAAGGGACTGTGTGAAAGAAGCACTTCTCCCTCGAGCGGCCGTATTGGCTCACTGCAGCGTTTTGTAGGAGTTCTGTGATATCGAATGAAAAAGAGTTGGCTGCCAGCCTTACTTACTATAGGATTACAATTTTTTGCTATTGCATTCAACGCAGCGTCATGTTGCCAGAACTTATCAGCTAATCAAGAAAGCTACAAGCCTGCAAACTCACGGCGCAGCGCAAAACGCAAGCGCGTGACAAGTTGACCTCTGAAAATCTGTCGTCACCGTGGTCTCGGAGAGTTTCCATCAGCACCTAATCTCACTTCACCTCGGCGGTGACAACATGATAGTCCAAAATCAAGAAAATAGAAGTCACAAATTCGCCACAAGGGCGAATCAATAAATGCAATAGCAACAACTTGGAATATAATGCTGAGAACACGGCAAGCATCTCGAAACAAGCAGCACGCTGCTCACGCACAAATCACGCTCGATAATAACCTGCGCAGGACGAGAGCAAACTAATAAAGTTTATCGCTCGATACTTAACGCACTGTTTAAAGAAAAACAAGGCACGTAATATACTCACAGGTACAAATATGAGCGCAAACTAACAAGTGTCCGAGATATTATTTTGCTCTGTTTGAAAAGCGCACTTTTTTAGCAAACGGTGCCTGTCCAGTGAGCGAAGTGATCTTGGTGCGCTCGGCAACTAAACGCAATCGTTTTGGTCAAAGTCAAAGGCGCACGATTTTCCCCACCA